GCAGTATGAACAGTGTGTATTAATACACTAGATACACACAGCAGCCTGAGAGCAGTATAAACAGTGTGTATTAATACACTAGATACACACAGCAGCCTGTGAGCAGTATGAACAGTGTGTATTAATACACTAGATACACACAGCAGCCTGTGAGCAGTATGAACAGTGTGTATTAATACACTAGATATACACAGCAGCCTGTGAGCAGTATGAACAGTGTGTATTAATACACTAGATACACACAGCAGCCTGTGAGCAGTATGAACAGTGTGTATTAATACACTAGATACACACAGCAGCCTGAGAGCAGTATGAACAGTGTGTATTAATACACTAGATACACACAGCAGCCTGAGAGCAGTATGAACAGTGTGTATTAATACACTAGATACACACAGCAGCCTGAGAGCAGTATAAACAGTGTGTATTAATACACTAGATACACACAGCAGCCTGTGAGCAGTATGAACAGTGTGTATTAATACACTAGATACACACAGCAGCCTGTGAGCAGTATGAACAGTGTGTATTAATACACTAGATACACACAGCAGCCTGTGAGCAGTATGAACAGTGTGTATGAATACACTAGAAACACACAGCAGCCTGTGAGCAGTATGAACAGTGTGTATTAATACACTAGATACACACTGCAGCCTGAGAGCAGTATGAACAGTGTGTATTAATACACTAGATACACACAGCAGCCTGTGAGCAGTATGAACAGTGTGTATTAATACACTAGATACACACAGCAGCCTGTGAGCAGTATGAACAGTGTGTATGAATACACTAGAAACACACAGCAGCCTGTGAGCAGTATGAACAGTGTGTATGAATATGCTAAGATATATAAAGTATAAAAACGGTAAGCAGTGCAAGTAGCTATAGTATAAAATATATAGATATTAATCTCATGATGATAAACTTTGTGGAACAATGATGAAAAATGTGAATGAAAGTGGCGACGTAAAAGTGACACAAAACAACAACAAACTTTTGCCGAGCCAATGGGAGAGCTTCATCAGCAGCACGGGGTGAAACCCACCAATGAGCGCTCAGCTCGAGATACCAGCGAGTCCTTTCCCATCAAGCATTTCGCTTCCGCAGCCCGTGGAGAGAAACTGGGGGTGTTTCTCAATGTCGAGGACGCTTCCTTGGTAAGACATGTCTTCCAAGTCAGGTTTATCAGAAGCTAGGCAAGAATCCTTCCTGGCATTCGGAGAACGAAGAATGGAACAGGCTAGCAAGTGTGCAGGTGTGCGTCATATGAGAGGCCCGCCTTAAATTTTCCGCCAAAGATTTTGGAAATTGGTCCGTGCGCAAAGCATTGTGGGGATTTTAAGACCGCGGAGGATACACATGTGCAGCCTCGAAATTTCCCGCAACGAAGGACGCCGGCCTCGGTAGGATTCCAAGCATCCTGGACATTGGAACAGTCCTTCGGCGGGACTCGATGACGTAGCATCCTTGAAATAGTTGCTCTGGAGCAGCCTTCCTCGACATTGAGAAATGTCGAGGAAGGCTGCTGACCAATTGTCAGGGACCAAGCAGTAAGGCAACAGGACACAGGAGTGGTTAAAATAGACTGGGTTTTTTATTTACCCAAAAGTCCACAGAAAACATCATAAATCAATAAGTTCTAATAACTAGGCCTATAAAAGAGGTCAACAGAAAATACCTCAAAGAAACATGGCATCAACTTAACAGGTGTTAACAAACTGACCTGCTACAATGAAAACCAAGGAACCTCCATAGTGGCTCGGCCAAACCAAGTTGAAACCAAGGGATAATTAATAGTAACAGAATACACAAAGGACACTGACAAAACCCAAATCCTCCCCCAATGGACATGGTAACTCAAGAGACAAAGAAAGTAATTCATACAAACAATTTTGTCAGTTAATTTATGTAACCGTAGTCAAAGTTTGACGGTCCGACGTCAGGCCGCTCAGGGAAAATGCAAGTAACTAACTGTACTCGGCTAGCTTATCAAAATGTCTTATTTTGGTCCGACGCGGTTTTGGTCCGACCTCCTCCAGCGTCATAACCCACCGCGTGCGTTTCAGAAGCGGAGCGTCTTGCCTGCCGGCTCGCAGTCTTTGTTGATTTGGGCATATTTCCTGGACAGGCTGCTTTGTGCAGACAAAGTTAATAATAACTGTAATATTCCAGTTATAAACGACATGAATCAAAGAAGTGTTGCTGTATTTTAGTGGTAAAAAAATGCATTCATCATCATAATTGTTCTATATATATAATGTACACAGTGCCTGTAAAGCGGAGGAGAACGCTGGCATTTCTCCTCCTACTTGAAAGACTACGGAGGGATAGGGTCTGCAAAATTATTTTGGGGATGGGCCGGATGCTGTGACCGGTCCACTTCCTGCCCGGCGCTATGCAACACCTCGCGTCCAAAATAGACTTGCATCCTATTTTGAGCGGAGCCCAGCGCCGAGACGCTTCTGGGACGCTTCTAGCCGTAACTCGGCGCGTCTGGTGGAATAGCACCCATTGACTTGAGTGGCCGGGATCGCCGTGATCGCTGTGAACGCTGTAATCGCCGTGATCGCCGTGATCGCCGTGATCGCCGTGATCGCCGTGATCGCCGTGATCGCCGTGATCGCCGTGATCGCCGTGATCGCCGTGATCGCCGTGAACGCCGTGATCGCCGTGATCGCCGTGATCGCCGTGATCGCCGCGGCGCAGCCGTAACACGGCGCAGACGGACCCGGTGGATTCTAGGGGTTACACGTGTACGGTTTGTTAGTTCATTCATTTTAAAATTCACAGAAATCTTGCAAACATTAGATTTGAGTGTGGACATGCAGAATGCCCTCCTGTATTCAAAGTGTTTTCAAATATTGTGTATTATCTAAGAATAGTGATAAAGTATTTGCCAAACAGTTCCTTTTGTTGTGTCTCGTCAAATGTGTTAGTGATGTTTATTATGTGTGTCATTTCATGTTTAGTCAGGTTCTCATGTTATTTCACGTCATGTCAGGTCTGTCTATTCATGTCATTCATCTTTAGTCAAGTCCTGTGTTTCATGTCGTGTCTCGTTTTCCATTTCCTGTTTCAATTTGTACTTACCTCTTGTCTCTCATTTCAGGCCCTGCTACTTCCTCCCTTTGTGTGTTTTCCCGTCATCGTCAGCGTCTGCCCCGCCCCTGATGGTTTCCACCTGTTCCCACTCACCTCGTGTTCAAACAGTCCTGTCTCCTCCTGTCTTGTGTCAGTTCATCTTGTTTGTTTCCATGGATGGTCGTGCCAGGCCTCCGCAAAGAGAGGATCGTTTCCAGTCTTGTTATTTTTGTAGACTTAAGTTTATCTTAAGTTCTCTATTTGCTTAGTTAGGGATTTTCTGTTCATTGACATTAAAAAGAAAATGTTTGTTATATTCAAGACTGTGTCTCTGGGTCGTGCATTTGGGTTCTCCAGGTCGTGACACCTTTTCCACTACAGCACGTCTCTAAAATGGCTTGGCAGAAGAAATGGCTTCATATTTTTTGGGTTGATTCGTTATCGCCACTGTTTTTAAAAATGCAATCTCCATGTTTTTGGATATTAATATCCATTGTTTTATGGATGAAAATATGTAATACGTGTAGGAATTGCAGCTGTTGGTCAGTTAAGCACAGTTTATAAGACATGGAAGATAATTGTACATGGGATATGCAATGGAAGACTATGGTAGCTATGGTATGCTCACCCATTTAGCACAAGAAAATGCATGTTCTTGATACCGTTCAACAATTAAGAATACATTGTTAAAATGTATTGTTTGCTGTCTCCCTGCAGTTATTGGTGAGCTTTAAAATGTGTCAAAAATGTCTGGTAATCTGTAAATTACCAGCATGACATGAAGTATACTATAATAAATAATTAGTTGTACAGTTACGATACTGATACTGTAACTTAAAATGATAGCATTACAGTTTCTATTTTACAGTTGAAACACTATTACCGCAAACAAAAAAACAGTACTTTTTAAATGGCAGTGTTTTATTTTATAGTTAGAAATACTATTAACTTCAACACAAATACAGCACTTGGAAGTTACTGTGGTTCATTTTACACTGTTACTGTAAATGTAGTTACTTACTGTAATACCAACCCACTCTCTTCAGTCTGCGTACAAATGACACGACTTTACACATTGGAAATGCGTGCAATAGATACGCAGAAGTCCGATTTTGCGTGCATATGATACGCTAACCATTCCCATTGAGATCTGATGCCGAGTTTTGCGTGCATATGATACGCCACGTTTTGTCCGGCGAACACGTGAACACTCCTCTGAGTTCGTTTCTGTTCTGCTTGAAAGCAAGTCCCTGCCTCCTGCAAAGTGTTCAAACAAACGCTTCAACTCGTACCATTTAGAATCTGTGTGTTTGAATCTGGATCTGAAGTTGGCGTGACGTTGAAGTCGTGCTGCTGGACTCGGCTGTAGTTCATTTATAGCATCACGTTAGCATTTAGCTTCTGGACGTTAGAGTTATGATTAGAACATTATGAAAGTAGACATGTGGAGATGATCCGGCTGAACAAAACGTGCATTTATAAAACGGGTTCATTTTCCACAGACCTTATTTCAAACTATTTTCCTAAATCCTATGGAGAAATCCCGTTGCATTTTTGTCGAGGGATATATAATTTTTTTTCCCCATACAAATATCAATATTAAATAGATGAAGTACTATAATCCAATATAAAGAGCTGTTTCCATTGTGTACAGACACAACATATTCAATTCAGAAAGTGATTTTGAGTGATTAGGTCACATGACCTGGAAGTTATTGAAGCAATATGCTAATATTACCATACACATAATACTAATAAAACATATTTAAAGTATTCAAATGTAATAAAGAGAGGTGTGTTCAACAAATGTATGCTCTATAGTGGATTTGTTTCACATTCACACGATCGGGAAGCTGTCGATTTATTAAAATGAACATCGTTCTTGTGTAATTGAAAAGTCATGTGTTGATGGTCCCTAAGTGAAAGCCTCGTTTTGCGGATAAGATCTCGCCGTCGTAATACAGCCAACTGCAACAGCAGGGGAAACTGACGCAAACCAAGTTAACAGTCACATCTTATCTGGATAAGTGCTGCAAAGTTATAAGGGATAAATGTGTGTGTAGTCTTTAATATTAAAAATGATCGCTGGTAGATAGCCACAGAAGTCGGATCACAGTTTACCTGAGAGGATCAGCTCCACAGCTGAAGACTTCTCCACGCTGCTGTCAAACTGTGAGTAAACCACGTGTGCTTCACTTGGAGGCTGTCTGAAGGTGTACACAGGTCTCAGATGGACTTGGTATCACATTAAGAACGATGTACAGTAATAAGTCTGGCAAAAATAACTGGTTTAAATGATTTATTCTAGTTTGCAATGTTTTGAACACACATCCCCATCACCTCAAGTGTCTTTTTGTAGTCCTCGCTGTGCGCGTCCGGATATCGGCATCGCAACCACAACCTCACACACTGGTACTGAAAGTGCATCAAAGTGTTCCTATGGAGCCACATATACCAACAGATGTAAAGGTTCATCTTATCTTATATTATCTTATGAATGTAAACGACAGAAGAAACGATCAAAATGTGTATTTCCTGGTTAGTCACAGGGCGTTTCCTGGACCTGGAAACATTCGGGGCTTAGTTTACAGTGGCGGGCCAGAGATGTTCTTTTGGGGGTGCTGTTGACGTTTCATAGAGGGTGCTCAAACATGTGGGGCTTCCCATTTGGTACCGGGCGCTACAGTGGAATTGTACTGCGGTCAACTCAGCCGTCTCTCAAATGTGCTTGGTCAAATGAGCAGTTCTTCATTTTTGAGTGCGCGATTAATAGCGCCTTTACGGTAATCGCTGAGAAGCGGCACTAACGCAAGAGTAAAACAATGCGTGTTTTTTCTGCTTCATGCGATACAAATGATTTTTACCATAAATTCTTTGAAAAACTAACACTGTTTGACTCAGTCCTAGTTGAACTGCTACCAACAATAACATGAAGTACTTGTACTGTCTTTTTTCTGGGTAATACTCTCAAATTCCCCTCCTGAGAACAAAATCATGCCACTTCTGCTATATTTGATGAGATAAAATGATTTTTAAAATTCTTAATAAAAGTGATACTGTTGGACTCAGTACTTGTTAGACTACTACCAAAAGTACAATCAAGTACTAAGCACTTTACAGCCCCGCCCACTTTTAGGGCAACAACGTCATTTACATTAAAAAAAAAAAAAATGTATTTATAGAAGGACCAAGCATTCAAAAACAGTAATCTCAGCAAAGAGAATAGATGCAATATGGATTTGAACGGCGATCAAGCCTGAAGCCACAGAGCTCTTCTGTTACTGTCCTTTGTTCTTAGAGGAAGTTCAGAAACACGTAACTCTGGATTTGTTTTAATGTTTGAGGTGCAATAAACGACACAGCAGCTTTTTTGCATGTTGAAACTATTTTCTGTCTCGCTCATGAGAGGAACAGCTGGATAAATTACAGCCTTGCCTACTGATTTCAAATATGTGCTCTAAAATGATATTTATAAATGACTATTATCATTATTACAAGCAAGACAATAAACGGCAAAGATATGTAGAAAATAAACGTATTTGAGATACGTTCATAAGAAACGTAACGTGGGAGAAAATACGTTTCTAGCTAAGCGTAATTGAGAATGCAGTTTAGTTCTGTGGGAACGTGATTTTTAGGAGACAGGGTTGGACTTTTTTTGTATGAATTTATGTTTCATCCAATCATAGAGCTTGTTGACTTATCATGAGGTTTGTCAAAGCGGATAGGCGTCGTCACAACAATAGCTGGGGATTGTGGGTAGTGTAGTCTCTTTGGCGCCCCACATTTCAGAGAAAACAAGTTGCTTCTCAGAATCGAAGGGGAAAAACACAAAAGCATTAAACACAATTTAAACCTATCAATGTCGTTTAATTATCAAAGGTAATCTGGTGTTTTTGAGTTGATGAGTAGTGCAGATATCACGGTCAGATCAATCGACAGTAAGGAGAATACTTACTTCCGGCTGTACAATTCTCCGTTATCCAATGGGAATGGACGCTCACATTGCCTTTTAAGAGCTGCCGACATCAACGAATGCCGTGCTTCCATGAGCGTCAAATACCGCCGCCGATGGGAATACATTGCAATCAGTTGAAAGCTCTTTGCATCCCTTTATGACGCTGAAGGAGCCTCGGTGTGTCCCAACTGCACGCCACGGGACCCTGACCAAGCGTCGCTCCTGGATGGTTAGGGAGTGAGAGAGTGTTGCTCAGTCTGAAAGGAGAGGACTCTCCTCCAGCTTGTTGTGGAACAAACAGCTCCTTATGTCAGTTAGTGCAGCTAGCTAACCAGATGCTAACAACACGGTTCCTGCCGGTGCGCTCTCTCTCTCTCTGGATGCCTCTGTTGCATTCACTGAACACGGGAAATTACAATGATGAGGTTCACGTAAAGCACGGTTAATGTATTATATTATTGAGGGAGAATTGTCCGGGGCTACAGAATAAACATTCTGGGCTAAATCCCGAATGCGCAGGCCAGGCGACGCCACTGTTAGTCGACAATGGGTCTGCAAAGGCCGCGGCTCCAACACATCTGCCTTAACACACAAGCAGGGGTTAAGTTGGGATCTGATATGTGGGGGGGGGTCTGTGTGGAGGTGCGAGAGGGGGGCAGAGGTCAAGGATCTCATTATTTGACCTTAAGGGATATACACTGTGGCCCTAAAGCAACTGCTCCATTATCTGTATCAAATGCACACATTGATGCCACCAAATGTCACAATAAAATGGAAAGTACTACAAATAAACTGGAATTATTTTACATCTTAAATTATTAATATAAACAAAAAAAGCTTTACAAATATCCAACCTTCAAATTGCTTTTTTAAATCAACACTGCTCTGCACACTTGGTAAAGAACATTTGTGTGGAAATCTCAATTCATTTTTGCTGCGCGAGTATGGCCAAAAGTATGGGAGTACATCTCACTGTGAACTATTTAATCATCACCAAATTCTGTGTTATTATGACCGATCATAACTCAGCTTTATGCAGACATACATTTAGCATGGTGTACAGGGCCGGTTTTTGGCATAGGCGGTCGCCTAGGGCGCCAGATCCGGGAGGGGGGGGGGGGGGATTTGGGGGCGCTGCGCTGGCAGCTCTGGGAGGGAAAAAACATTGTTGACTGTTTGCGCTCATCCTAATTTTCCACCTTGATGTAACAACATTCATAACTAGAGAATGCAATTCCTGGAGAAATTGCTAGTGGGAATGCTTTATGCTGAAATGTAATGTGTCAGAAGAAAGTGAATTGAGATTGAAATGAAACATGAACACTGGGTGCTTGAATGTGAAATGAGAAAATAAAGTGAAAAGGCTTGGAAAAGCAGCAGAATATTTGAACTGCAAACTTTTGAACTAACTTGATGGTGAATGATCTGTCGCCATGGCAACGGCATTTGATGACATCCCATAATACGCTTAGATGCGTTGATGGCTGCATCGTTACCAGACCTGTGAAGTTTTGGGGCGTTTGGAGCAGTTTCACTGAAGTTATGAGAAAACCGTGTTTCATGGTGAGCATTGTGTTGCCATGGCAACAGCATTTGAAGAAATCTTAAAACTGTCAAATAGATGTCTCCACGGCTGGACTGTTAGGACACATGTGAAGTTTGAGCACTTTTTGACCATTTTCATAGGAGTTATAGCGACATCGTGTTTTACAGCGAGGGCTGCGTTGCCATGGCAACAGCTTTTGAGGAAAACTCACTAATGGCACATAGACATGTTGAGGGCTTGACCTTTAACCTCTACCTGAAGTCTGAGCATGTCAGCTGGAGCGATGACATCACGTGTTCCATGACACAGGTGTTTCTAGTTGAGCTAACGAGCTCTGCAGAGATCACAGGGTTCCATTGCTCTGAATGAGAGATGAACCTCTTACATGTGAACGTTTTGTGGAAGAACCGTAACAGATATCTGTGACATTTCAAAACGTGAAGCATGTCAAGGAACTTGAGCATCTGAAGTGTAATGTTTGTGTAGTTTCGGGTTAATAATGTGGCCTTTTTGGCAGTTTAACTAAAGGTGGGCTGCTACCGTGAGGAAATATCTGCCTGAAATTACGTGTGTGTGTGTGTGTGTGTGTGTGTGTGTGTGTGTGTGTGTGTGTGTGTGTGTGTGTGTGTGTGTGTGTGTGTGTGTGTGTGTGTGTGTGTGTGTGTGTGTGTGTGTGTGTGTGTGTGTGTGTGTGTGTGTGTGTGTGTGTGTGTGTGTGTGTGTGTGTGTGTGTGTGTGTGTGTGTGTGTGTGTGTGTGTGTGTGTGTGTGTGTGTGTGTGTGTGTGTGTGTGTGTGTGTGTGTGTGTGTGTGTGTGTGTGTGTGTGTGTGTGTGTTATATAGTCTAACAAAACGTCACCTCCATGCAATACGTAATGTTCATCCTTGCGGCCGGTCTCCAGCTGTCATGGCGCTGCTGAGTGGACAGGGATTCTGGAAGTATCCCAACCAGCGTGGCTGTGCGAGGGCCCGATGATCGCTGCGTGCAGCTTTAATTATTTTTAGGTTTCCTGTGTTGACTGTTTGAAATGTGTTTCTGTGTGAGAACTCTCTGTGTCCTGATGAGATAATGTGTGGTTCTCCAGCAGGTGGTTGTGTGTGTGAAGGTGTGAGCTCTGCTATGAATCCCTGTGAGGACACTGAACCCGCTCTGAGTGGGGACCCTGAACGCCTCACCAAAGCTCAGAGGTGAGATGAAGACCTCTGACTGTCCTCTTCTCCAGAGCTCAGCAGGCATTATTCACACTCAAAACTCTGTGTGTGTGTGTGTGTGTCTGTGTGTGTGTGTTGAAGCCCAGAGCAGCAGCATGGACCTGGACCTGGACCCAGCTGTGTTTCCATGAAGAGTAACCGGTCTATAGCTGACCCAATATGTTTTAAAGGCCGACCTTCAGAGACAGAGTAAGTGGACTTCATGTGACTTCATTATATCAGCAGCAGTAGAAAACATGTTGTTACTGAAGAACAGAGACTTCTTATTGAAGCTGAGGGAGGGTCTACCGAGGTGGGTTCACTCTGAAGCCAGAGTTTAACGTGTCAGACAGGCTCGATAAAAGAAGCCTTCTATACCATTGCAGGTAGACTTGTTGTCCTACTTTTTCTCCTTAACATTGACTCACAACGTTGATACTTCTCTCATCTTACGAAGGCTCATATTTCATATTTATTGAGGCCTCTGTTGGTCAAAGTGCTCTGATAGAGAGGAGGATTATTTCTACTCTGTTAATATTAACTCAATGACAAGGTGTTTTTATAGTCAATGTTTTATTAAAAGGAGCCAATGTTTGCAGAGAGGTGTTCGTAATTGCTGCAGGGATTTAGGTATTAGTTGGAGAGTTTCAGGCACTACTGCTGATCTCTGGGAGGTAGCTGCAGTGGTCTAGGGTTTAGTTGCAGAGATCTCGGGACTAGTTGTGAGATCAAGGGTCTTTAACTGTCCGAAAACACTGAAAGCAGAGATATCATCTTGTTGCTTCTGTACATTATTGTCTTTCTATTAGCTCCAAGCAGCAGAGAGAAGAGTCTCCTGAACCCAGCTGTGTGTCCCTGAAGAGTGATCGGTCCATAGGTCACCTGATTAACTTCAAAGATGGACGTCCTTCCAATCACCCAGTGTAAGTATTTAAAGCCAATGATTTGTTTGCATCTGGTTTTAAATATGATGAATCATGCAGAACACAAATTATGTTGAATCTTTCAAACTTTGAGAACACATTAATCAAATATCAATCTGTCATACCTTTTATTATTTTGTAACAATTTACACACACACACACACACACACAGTATACTGTTACAATGAAGGCTTGATAATCAGCTCACGGCATATAGGTGTAAGCTGTGGTAAAGTGCTATTTTTGGTGGAGAGTTATTTTAGGTGGAGACCTAACATCATATAGGAGGGTCCTCACCTCCTCTAGGACCTCACCTCCTCTAGGTGGGTACGGGGGGCATGCTCCCCCGGGAAGATTTGTTTTTAAATATTGAAGTATTGAAGCATCAATCTGGTGCACTTTGAGAGCAGCATTAAGAGATCTATGGAAACATCTCTCAACACCCATTTTACATTACATTTCATTTAGCTGACGCTTTTATCCAAAGCGACTTACAATGACCAATTACAGGGACATTCTCCCTGGAGTAACTGAGGGCTAAGTACCTTACTCAAGGACACACGAGTGGTGGTGTTCCAGGCGGGATTTGAACTCACAACCTTCCGATCTTCATCCCACCTCACTATCCATTAGACCACCCACTACCCCTATACATTTGAAACAGAACTGTAAACAGATTTACTTTTTCTTTATGGATATTTTACAAATCACTCTCCTTTCAAACTGTATTCTTGTTTTACTGCCATATAGTATTTCATAACTGTTTTCATTTATGCTCTTGTTTTTTTGTAATGATCATATAAACGTGTGCCTCGGAAATACTTATTTACATAAATCGTGACCAAACCGTTTGAGACCCACTGAGATAACTTAGACTAAAGTGAACTATCTAAACACTGAGAGAGTCCTTTACTTCACCTGAGGTTATCTGAGACTCTCAGTCTGACAGGAGAAAGTTCTCCCTCCTTGTTGAAAAAGCTCCTTATATCCGTTAGCTAGCCACCGGTGCGCGCGCTCTCTCTCTCTCGCTCGCGCATGCACACAAAATGGCTCGTGCCACACACACACAGAGAGCAGAGCTTGAATGAAACACAGAGACCCAGAAGTAAGCTACTTGTACTGTAGCATATTACTTTCGAATCAATCATTTTTCAAATTATGAATTTCACACGCATAAAAAAAAAGACATACATTTCTTGGGGGTGCTTAGGGGGTGCTATGGCTATCCTGGGGGGTGCTTCAGCTCCTGGCGCCGCCACTGACACACACACACACACACACACACACACACACACACACACACACACACATCTGTTATCTTTGTAAAACACTGGTCAATATCTGTGAGCTGTTTGGACAGTACAACCAGTTGACTTGGATTTTGGTAAAAACGTTGTTGTGTAACGTTACGGCTAAACATTACTGCCGTTCCTGGAGGATTGGGATCACTCTATCCGCTTGGACTGCGGAGCCTGTGCTCACTTCCCGGAGCTGAAACGCCACCTGTGTTGCGCTTGATTTTGGACTTTGGTGGACTGGGTTCGTGAGCGAAAGCATATGACTGGGCTTGTGTTCCTGTTTACATGATATGTCAAACAACGTCATCTTCGTTCTCGGGAGGACTGAAAGTCCGGACCGGATTCTCACCTCGCTGATCTGGCATTTCTCAACTTCGGCACGACAGAAAAACGCGGACGGGTTTCCTGTGCTGATTTTCAGATTTCTTCAGCAGGCCCTCTCTACCCCCTGACACATGTCGCCCAGCATGTTTCTCCCAACACCTCTTTTTCTCCTATTGACTATTCTCCATCCATATGAGGTGCGTGAAGGGTGTGGAGACCAACATGTGCCTCATCTTGTCTTCCCTAGTGAAGACACAAACTGGGATTCTACTTTGTTTAAGAGCTCCGTAAATTGGAGCATTCTAATCTCCAAGGATCTCATGACTCTACCTTGTCTTTTTAGTCCTTATAACTGTTTTTTTCAATGAACTCATATTCCTATGATGGAAAGAGAGTAATTGTCAAGATCACAGGTACAGATCAGAACCCAAGAGCATGATACAGATACAACCAGTGTTCAGAATGTTCAGTTTAATCGAGTCAGGGACAGGCAGGGTCAAAACTAGGAAATCCAGCAGTCAGGCAAACAAATCCAATTAGGGGGCAGGCAGGAAACTCGAGGTCCGATAACAGGCAGGCAGGGGTCAAAACCGGCAGGACAGGTAAGGCAAAGAATAATGAAACGCTGCAGAATTGGCAAAACACACAAGACAATCTGGCAGAGGACAAGTGAGAGTGAGGTGGTATATATATACTGTGGAGTAAATGAGGGAATGCGTAGCAGGTGAGGGGAAGGGCTGGGGAGACCAGGTGAGGGGAGTGAGCTGATTGCAAGAGCCTGGAGGAAAGCGGGATCTGGAATGACAGGAGAGTTAAGATGTGTCCAACCAAAAAACTATAATAAATGTGTCTAACTTGTGACTGTAATAGGCCTATATAATGAATCTATGCAAACAACAACTTGGGTGAAAAGGAAATGTTTCATTGTTATCCTGCTCCTACTATCAGGAAATGTTCATCCAAACCCTGGACCAGATTTGAATTGTCTACGTACCCCTGATGATTTTAAATTAAGGTCGGGTCTTGTATTATGGTACACATAATGTCAGAAGTCTACTTCCTAAAATGGACCACATGAAAATCTGGGCAAAATCCTCTGATTCTGATGTTCTTGTTTTATCTGAAACTTGGCAAAAAGAAATCTATCACGGACAAAGACATTGCAATTAGGGGTTACGATGTGTTTCGTTGTGACCGTCCCAGAAAAGGTGGTGGTGTTGCAATTTATGTAAAAACAAAATGTCATGCTACCATCCAATCATCTGTGTCTCTCAGCAGACAATTTGAACTACTGGCGCTGAAATTGGAACTTCTTAAGGGTCATTTTATCACTGTTGTAGAGTGCTATAGACCCCCTTCAGCAAGCATTGAGGCTTTATCATCGCTGAGTCATCAGTTATCTTGCTTGGATTTGAATGAGATTTACTTGCTGGAGACTTTAACTGGGACTGGTTGTCCTCTGTCTCCGATAGTTTTGAATCTACCTGTGCTTCTTTTAATCTTACTCAATTTATCAATAGCCCAACTCGTCCTAATCTCAAACACCAAGATGAAACGTCTCTTATCGACTTATTTTTAACAAAATGCGCCTCATGAGTTTTTGGATAATGGTATTTTCGCAAATGATATGAGTGACCATTGCGCTATAGCTACAATCAGGCAAGCTAAGCTTCCAAAAACAAGACCACAAATAGTTTTTAAACGTAATTTTAAACATTTCTGCGAGCAAGCATTTTTTCATGACCTGTGGGATTATGATTGGAACAAGATCTCTCTCATTAGTGATGTTGAACTGGCATGGGATTATTTTCATGAGGCTTTTACTAGAATTATAAACAAACTAGCTCCTTTCTGCAAATTTAGGGTGAAAGGGCTAAAGAATCCCTGGTTGAGACCTCACAGGCAGCTTTCTAAAGGGAAGGGTATTGCCTGGTCAAGGGCCAGAAGATCGAAATCCCAAGTGGATTGGATAGTTTTTAGACTGCTCCGAAATCGTTTCACCTTCCTCGTTAAAAAGGCAAAATCTGAGTACTACACCACTAGTAACTTAAATGATCCAAATAAATTCTGGAAGGTAATACAAAACTAATTTGGAACAGAAACTAAAAATGAATTACCAGCCTGCATTGTTTCAGACTCGCAAACCCTCACTGACAAATCGGCCATTCTCAACGGCTTTCATGAACATTTGATTTCATCTGGTTCTTTGTTTGAGTCCCTACACTCGGGCCCTGGACAGAACGTTGATTCCTCACCACCTCCATCCCATCCCGTGGCTCAGCCATTCAATTTCACTTTGATCAAGGCGATAGAGGTCCATGAAGCATTGCAGAATCTGGATCCACACAAATCGGCAGGTCCGGACAAACTTCCTCCTCATTTTCTTAAATGAGCTGCAGACTTTATGGCTGAGCCGCTGACTTATCTTTTTAATGTATCTCTTTCCAACAATGAGACTCCTAACATATGGAAGTCTGCATGTTCTTCCTTTACTGAAAGGAGGGGATCCCTCACCTGTTAATAATTATAGGCCAATCTCAACATGATGTGTTGTAGCGAAGGTCCTCGAAAAGCTTCTCAGTGAACAACTTAAATTATTCTTGGACACAAATTATATTTTGCCACAGCACCAATCCGGTTTTAGAAAACAACACAGCACAACAACTGCTGCTATTAAAGTGGTGAACAACATAATTGAGGCATTGGACTGCAAACAGTATTGTGAAGCTCTATTTATTGATTTGTCAAAGGCGTCACAGTTGATCATATCATCGGCTTATCTAGGCATACTGTAGGTTGGTTTTTAAATTATTTATCAACGAGAACCCAATGCGTCCAATTCTCTGGGTCCTATTCTTCCTTCCTCCCGAGAGCAAAGGGTGTGCCTCAAGGTTCAATATTAGGAACCATTCTTTTGATCATATATGTAAATAATCTATGTAATAATTTAGCAAATGCTTCTTACCATTTTTATGCAGATGATACCAGGGGCGGACTGGGGGGAAAAGTGGCCCGGGGATTAATTGACAGACAGGCCCACTTAATGCGTGGCATGTATCGGCCGGCCGGCGACGAAAGTATGTTACTTAACAAAAAACCCTGCATTTGATGTTATTTTGGACCATTATTCATATAGTAATCACATTACCTGAGCAGCCCTTGAGTTGCCTAGAGCAAAAATAGTTCCAGCATATATTTAGTGATTTTAATGTTAACAGATCATTGATGCAATAACATTTGGGCCCAATTTGCCTGACTTGACACATGGAATAAAACATGGGCGTAAGAAGCATCCTCAATGTGGGTGAGACAATTTAACAGGGGGTGTGGGCAGGTGGTGGACCTCACCTCCTCTAGGGGGGTCCGGGGGCATGTTCCCAAACGTTGAAGTTAAATGCATCAATCTGGTGCACACACTCCAGGGAGTGGCCGGAACACTTACAAATGTGGGCCGGTAGGATTTAGGCAAAAAATAAAATAAAAAAAACGCACAGCACCGGCCCACCGGGAAAACTCCCGGTATTCCCAATGGCCAGTCCGCCCCTGGATGATACTGTTATTTATTGTTCCTCCCCTTGTATATAGAGCAAAGTCTAGATTTCCTCCAGTCTGCCTTTGATATCATACAAACCCATTTGTATCAACTAAAGTTGGTATTAAATGCAGAAAAATCAAAAGTGAGGATATTTTCGAATGGCAAAAAGTTACCATCTATTCTACCCAAGATGTGTACTGCTCAAGGGACTGACATTGAGAGGGTCACTACTTACAAATATCTGGGATTTCTTATTGACAGTGTTGTGCTAGTTACTGAAAACCAGTAACTAGTTACCATTACTAGTTACTTCATGTTAAAAGTAACTCAGTTACTTTACTAGTTACTCACACCCAAAAGTAATGCGTTACTGTGAAAAGTAACGCTTTCGTTACTTGAAAAAAGGGCTCCCATTAATGCCCTTATAGCCTTCATTTCAGTACTGTTATTGCATTGGAGAATAATACAATCTGTTGATCAACTTGAGATGCATTATATGCAATCTGGATTGCATCGATATTAGCTGGCTTTCCATTTTTGTATATTCTTTCTCCAGGTAGTTGGAAAAAGTTTTCCGTCCCATATGCCGTGTGCCGCCCGGACATGCTATCATGCTAACTAGCTCCCTGAAAGCGGGTGACTCCACTGTAGCAATAGCCTGCATGTGTTCTACAACATACCGTGCAATGGCTTTATCCACTTTTCCCTGGCCAGCAGTCCCTTGGTTAAAATCCAGCCGCTGTTGCTTAGGTGGAGGTGGAGTGGCGTCGGCTGAGTCTCTGTGGTCTTAGCTACTAGCTTCGTCCCAGCATGTTGTTTCTGCAGATGTTTTAAGAGATTTGAATTACTGGTTTGGGCAGTAGAGGATCTTTGACCCGCCAAGACACAACTTACATTTAACTAAAACGTTCTTTTCTTTGTGCTCGACAAAAGTGAAATAGTGAGAATATCTCCAGGTGGAGAAACTAGACTTGAGCTCCGCCGCCTCCATGATAGTCTTGTTAGTAAACAACACAAACATGCCCACAGCCCGTTTCCGCATGTGACACAGGAAGTATCTAAGTACATTTACTCAAGTACTTAAGTACAGTTCTCATCTCTGTTCGCCTATATACAAAAACTAACGGAGTAACTCACCATGTAGTAACGGTAACTGAGTTACTGAATGTAAAAAGTAATGCGTTAGAGTACTACAGTAGTTACTACCAAAAATAACGGCGTTACAGTAACGCGTTACTTGTAACGCGTTAGTCCCAACGCTGCTTATTGAACAGAACTTGTCTTTCAAGTTACACACGGAAAATGTTGTTTCAAAGCAAAAAATAAAATGAGGTTTCTTTTACAGAAATAAATCCTGTTTCTCTTTTCAGACGAGGAAACATTTGATATCTGCAACGTTTTTACCTGTATTAGATTATGGTGACCTGCTAGACATGAACGCCTCTGACCAGTGCCTAAAGAGTCTGGACACTGTGTACCATTGAGCCTTACGATGTATCACTGGATGTGGATATCGAGTACAGCATTGCACTTTATATGCTGCTGCTAATTGGCCATCTTTGTCTGCTCGCAGACTTTCCCATTGGTTGGGTTTTATTTATAAATCTCTGCTTGGGTTGGTTCTCTCCTACATTTGCACATATATGTGTCAAAGAGAAAGTCTGTATGGCCTGCGCTCCCAAGATGTGATTCAGATGCTGGTTCCTACAGTGAGAACAGAACTGGGTGAAACAGCTTTTCAACATGCGGCCCCCACAGCTTGGAACAGAAGGAGCTGAAACTCTCAGATGTAATCACTGTGGGGGAATTCAGGTCCATCCTAAAGGACAGAGGACACAACACCATTGGTAGATGTGAGTGCTCGTATATCCAAAAATTGTTTTACAATTTGCCAGTTTTTTTTATGATTTGTAATAGTTTCTTTTACTTCGCATATTGACTGGCTAATGTGCCGTTTTATTTGTGTTTTACAGCTGTGTTTGTCTGCCTGTCTTGTCTGTGTTTTATCTGTTGTAACTTCGTTCATGCTGCCCTTCATGGCCAGGTCACTCTTGGAAAAGAGATTTTAATCTCAATGAGTCTTTTACCTGGTTAAAAAAAGGATATATATATAATTGAAAACCACCAATCAAACTCAATCTTCTAAATCTGGCACTCTTTTTAGGCTGTGAAATGTTCCATCCCTTCCTCTTCTCAACCAATAGTGCTACTACCCTGCTTTTGCGCCGCTGCAGCTTTTCTGCCCCACTATCACTCCATCATCCACCTGTAGGGTCCGGGGGAAAGTTATTTAATCATCACTCCTCAATGTCCTATGTGAATATATGCAGGGAGCAATGAGGCCGGAGCCTAGGTGCGAAAATCACACTACATGCCTCTGTCAATAAACATTTCAGACATGAGTTTTCTGACTGAAATAAAGTCAACTTTGGCGTTTCTGTCAGTTCCAAGCAGCAGAGAGAAAAGTCTCCTGGACCCAGCTGTGTGTCCCTGAAGAGTGATCGGTCTAAGGGTCATCTGATTGACTTCAAAGATGGAAGCCGTTCTTATGACCTGTTGTAAGTATTTAAAACTATTAATAGAAACTGGAGAGCTTGCTGATTGATTGTCAGTCAGATACAGAATTGGTCTTTAATCAGTGTTGTTAGCATCTGGTTTTGATGATGATGTATCCTGACATATATTACTATCTGCTCTGTGTGTCTCTGTATGAAAAGTCTATGTTGAAACATAATGTGAGTTATCTCTTCATGATTCCTCACAGAGAGGACCAGCAGAGCTCAGAGGTTCCCAGAGGTCAGTCTGCCCAGCAGCAGCAGACTCAGCTGGACTCCACATTTATGGTCAGTACATGAACTACAGCTACTTCACATCTGTTCTGTCCAATCATTTCTATGGTGCACTTTTTAGATCAAGACAGAGAGGATGACCTTGAATTTTTAGCGGCCTCTGGAGTTGAACCAGCATACTTGAGCCACCGGCAACCACTGAGCTGTCGGTGGCCAAGACGTCCAATATATTGTTCTTTTTTCTATTTGGTTTAGAAGTGTTGGGGTGTGGTGCTTTGCTCAAGGGTATCTTGGCAGTGCCCAAGAGACAAACTGGCACGTCTCTGTGTACATTCTGCACTCCTTATTTGGTGGCTTGAACTGCGACTTTGATTCCCAAACCAAGTCCAAAGGGACTGAGCTATTTCTGCCAATCATGGCTCCCCTTCCCCACCATGTAACAAAGAGAAACCGTGGGTAGAAAACATTTCTGTTTCAGGTGCATTCGAATAACGTAATCAGATTCTGTTTCATCCTCCGTCAATTGTCAGTGCGTCCAACATGGATCTGATGTTTGGTGACTTTAGTTTGATTGTGTTGTTCATGTATTCTGTTCCAGCTGCTGGAGGACAACATCATCACTTTTGTGAAGAACGAGCTGAAGAAGATCCAGAAGGCTCTGAGTTCAGATTACCCAGAATGCTTAGAGAGTCAGAGGGAGGATGAGGAGGTGTTGGACGGTGAGGATGAAGAGCAGAGGAGCAGCAGAGAGGCATTTCTGAACATCTCTCTGCACTTCCTAAGGAGCATGAAGCAGGAGGAGCTGGCTGACCGTCTGCAGAGCAGTAAGAGGGTTTCTAGAAAGATTTAACAAGCGGGATAATCAGAAACGTTGCGGTCAGAAACAATGAGACGTGTTCTGGAAGAAATATGGTCTGTGTTTACATTAGCATGCTAACACTCAGAGCTGACCTGTACTGGAGAGAGTGTGTGTGAAGAAGCAGGAAATCAAAAAAGGTACTCAACTTGTAGTAAACCCGCAAGAAGAAAAGTATTTGAGCTCCATACTTTTTCAGAAATAATCCTTGAAGTGGTTTGGAACATGATCTGGAGTTTCATTACGGCAGCATTTAGCTGTATCTGAGCGGAGCAGACAGCTCGTCACAGACCTCACTGTTTGCCTTGCCGTGCTCAAAAGATAGAAAATAAAATAGGGGGCGGGGCCAGCAGCTGCAGTCAAATAATCAGCCATTCTCTAACGGGGCTGAAATAGAGGGATACAGGCTTGGAATTTCGTCATTTTAGGGGCAAGGCCATTTGGCCTTTGGTGTCACACATTTTTTCAGGGCGCAAAGGCCATTGAGGGAAACATTTGGATTTGGAGCTTACAAATAAATAACTTCACTTTCTGATGAGAAAAACACACGAATGACATGGAAAACAAATCACTTTTTTTAATATCAAATCATTCGTGTGTGTGTGTGTGTGTGTGTGTGTGTGTGTGTGTGTGTGTGTGTGTGTGTGTGTGTGTGTGTGTGTGTGTGTGTGTGTGTGTGTGTGTGTGTGTGTGTGTGTGTGTGTGTGTGTGTGGTGTGTGTGTGTGTGTGTGTGTGTGTGTGTGTGGTGTGTGTGTGTGTGTGTGTGTGGTGTGTGTGTGTGTGTGTGTGTGTGTGTGTGTGTGTGTGTGTGTGTGTGTGTGTGTGTGTGTGTGTGTGTGTGTGTGTGTGTGTGTGTGTGTGTGTGTGTGTGTGTGTGTGTGTGTGTGTGTGTGTGTGTGTGTGTGTGATTCGTCTGACGCGTTCTCGCGGTAGCCAATCAGCGGGGAGGATCTCAGCCTGCCGTCAGTGACGTTGAATCAGAAAACCAAAACATTAGCTGTTAGCACTCAGAGCTCACAGCTCCTCATGTCTGTTCAGAAACTAGACAAAAGTTAAACAAGTACAAACCACAGACTGTCTGTGTCATGGAGAGTACAGTCGCTGCTTTATTTCTGTCTTTAGAATATTGTTGTGAGTGAGGATGGAGCAGCTACAGGTTAGTTTACCCTGATCGATCCGATCTCCATTCAGAAAACACGCATTTGAAAAGGTTTTTCACCTGCCGTCTTGTCTGCATCGCACACTTGTCAAAGCATTAATTCATGGTCCGCCATCATCTCCGCCATCATTTTGAAACGTGTATTGCAATTAAATCACGGTAAAATGTGTTAATTTAGTTGTAGTTGGTTTCTACCACAGTATTTACATGGATATAAGCAGGGCTGCACATAACTGGTGCGCAGGTGCGCCTGCGCACCTCCGCCAAAAAAAGAGCACCGGGTCATTTGAAAAAAGGCGCATTTGCGTACCAAAATTGAGAGAGGGAGAAGAGAAAAGAGAGGAGAGAGAAAGATATTTGCGAGTTGCATATGAACTCAGGGTCGGCCCGTAGCACTGGCGTTATAGATGTTCGCCAAGGGCGCCAGATCTGGGGAGTCGCTGCGCTGGCAGCTCTGGGAGGGAAAAAACATTTTTGACCGTTGGGGCTCATCCTAATTTTTGGCCTTGATGTAACAATATTCATAATTAAGTAAATGTAACACCCTTTTCACCCCGGTTACACGTTTCATGTACGATGGGCGCTGTAAGTGATGAAAATGGGGGATGTTGGCTTATCTGGCGCCCGCAGCTCACAGCCAAAGTGCGAGTGAGCGAGGGAAAGAGGGAGGGTGCACCGCCCGGTGTTGTTATTAGAATCTGGTGCTAGCTGCTCTAACGGATATAAGAAGATGTTTCTACAATGATGTGGAGGGAGAGTCCTCTCCAGTCAGACTGAGAGGCTGATAACTACAGCTCAGTGAGGTAAAGGACTCTTGAGTGTTTAGATAGTTCACTTTAGTCTAAGTTCAAACAGTTTGGTCACAATTTATGTAAACACATATTTCCAAGGCACTCCTTTATAATTATTGGGATAAATAGGTTTGAAATAATTCCAATGCATACTATAGGACAGTAACCACACATATCCTTTAAAACTGGAGACATACAAAAAGAAAATGCATTTAAATAAGATATGAATGAACAACACAAATAAAATAAGTTACATTAATTTGTTATTGGCTATGGTAGGTTATTGGTTATGTTCACATACTTATTTGATTACATCCACTTGTCTAAGATGACAACAGAGACTTTCGACCCAAACCCAGCTGTTGACTTGTGGATGCAAGCAGCTAATCACAGACTCAACCAGAGAGAATGAAGTAGGCCTACATCATCAGCGACCATGTCTGACAGAGAGGAAGACAGTGAGGAGAACAGTCAGGAGGGTAGTGATGACAGCTTGCAGGATTACTGGTCGTGCTAATGTTGTCTTGTGTTCACCTCTGCATGTGTGTTCTGTGTTCACCTCTGCATGTGTGTTCTGTGTTCACCTCTGCATGTGTGTTCAGTGCCGTGTGTCTGGCAAATCAAGTCAAGACCCCCTCAAAAGTTACGGTTTATTTCATTTTAAGGATGAGCACCAAGCAACATCTCCAGGTGCTCCTTTGAGAACCAGGGCAAAAAAGTTATGTGCACCCCTGGATATAAGCCACGCCCCCTCCCCAGCACGTCCTGTTATAATGAGAGGAGTAAACACAGCTGACAGCCGCGGTGAAACTCCAGCGATTAGAGCAATGCGAATATTCGCTCTGACGCTTTTAAAGCAACTTTGAGATTTTAACAGTGTGAGGGGCACATTGGCCATGGTGGCCGTAGGACATACAAGTATTTGCGGGGCATCACGGCCAGGCCGAGGGGCAACGACGGCCATGGCCGTCATGGCCGTCGTCAAATTCCTACCCTGGAGGAATATGAGGGATGTTTGTTTGGTATTTTGAGAAAAACACATCATAGACATGTTTGTTTATGTATTTGTATATCTGAGACACATAATATATGCCTAAAAATAGCATCATAGGAGACCTTTAAGGATTCCTTTGACCTACAGATCTGCTTTGTTGTGTGTTCATTCAGGAAGTCGTTCTGGAGTGTGTCAGCGTAAACTTAAGTCTAACCTGAAGGAGAGGTTCCAGTGTGTGTTTGAGGGCATTGCTAAAGCAGGAAACCCAACCCTTCTGAACCAGATCTACACAGAGCTCTACATCACAGAGGGGGGGTCTGCAGAGGTCAATGATGAACATGAGGTCAGACAGATTGAAACAGCATCCAGGAAACCAGACAGACCAGAAACACCCATCAGACAAGAAGACCTCTTTAAAGCCTCACCTGGAAGAGATGCACCAATCAGAGCAGTGCTGACAAAGGGAGTGGCTGGCATTGGGAAAACAGTCTTAACACAGAAGTTCACTCTGGACTGGGCTGAAGGCAAAGCCAACCAGGACATCCAGTTCATATTTCCATTCACCTTCAGAGAGCTGAATGTGGTGAGAGAGAACAAGTACAGCTTGGTGGAACTTGTTCATCACTTCTTCCCTGAAACCAGAGACGCAGGAATCTGCAGGTTCGATCAGTTCTCGGTCGTGTTCATCTTTGACGGTCTGGATGAGTGTCGACTTCCTCTGGACTTCCTCAACACTGAGATCCTGACTGATGTCACAGAGTCCACCTCAGTGAATGTGCTGCTGACAAACCTCATCAGGGGGAAGCTGCTTCCCTCTGCTCGCCTCTGGATAACCACACGACCTGCAGCAGCCAATCAGATCCCTCCTGAGTGTGTGGACATGGTGACAGAGGTCCGAGGGTTCACTGACCCACAGAAGGAGGAGTACTTCAGGAAGAGATTCAGAGATCAGGAGCAGGCCGGCACCATCATCTCCCACATCAAGACCTCACGAAGCCTCCACATCATGTGCCACATCCCAGTCTTCTGCTGGATCTCTGCTACAGTTCTGGAGGAGGTGTTGAAAACCAGAAAGGGAGGAGAGCTGCCCAAGACCCTGACTGAGATGTACATCCACTTCCTGGTGGTTCAGTCCAAAGTGAAGAACATCAAGTATGATGGAGGAGCTGAGACAGATCCACACAGGAGTCCAGAGAGCAGGAAGATGATGGAGGCTCTGGGGAAACTGGCTTTTGAGCAGCTGCTGAAAGGCAACCTGATCTTCTATGAGTCCGACCTGACAGACTGTGGCATCGATATCAGAGCAGCCTCAGTGTACTCAGGAGTGTTCACACAGGTCTTTAGAGAGGAGAGAGGACTGTACCAGGACAAGGTGTTCTGCTTTGTCCATCTGAGCGTTCAGGAGTTTCTGGCTGCTCTTCATGTCCATCTGACCTTCATCACCTCTGGAGTCAACCTGCTGGCAGAAGAACCAACAACATCCCAGCAGTCTAAAGCCTTCAGACCCAAACCTGAACTCACACATCTCTACCAGAGTGCTGTGGACCAGGCCTTACAGAGTCCAAACGGACAGCTGGACTTGTTCCTCCGGTTCCTCCTGGGTCTTTCACTGGAGACCAATCAGAAACTCCTACGAGGTCTGCTGACAGAAACAGGAAGTAGCTCAAAGACCAACAAGAAAACAGTCCAGTACATGAAGAAGAAGATGGATGAGGATCTGTCTCCAGAGAGAAGCATCAACCTGTTCCACTGTCTGAATGAACTGAATGATCGTTCTCTAGTGGAGCAGATCCAACAGTCCCTGAGTTCAGGAAGTCTCTCCACAGATAATCTGTCTCCTGCTCAGTGGTCAGCTCTGGTCTTCATCTTACTGTCATCAGAAGAAGATCTGGACGTGTTTGACCTGAAGAAATACTCTACTTCAGAGGAGGCTCTTCTGAGGCTGCTGCCAGTGGTCAAAGCCTCCAGGAAGGCTCTGTGAGTACAGAAATATTCATACATCATGGTTTAGATGTTCAGCTCATCATTTTAACATATTACGTGTCTTTCCTTCATCAGACTGAGTGACTGTAAGCTGTCAGAGAGAAGCTGTGAAGCTCTGTCCTCAGTCCTCAGCTCCCAGTCCTCTAGTCTGAGAGAGCTGGACCTGAGTAACAACGACCTGCAGGATTCAGGAGTGAAGCTGCTGTCTGCTGGACTGGAGAGTCCACACTGTACTCTGGAGACTCTCAGGTCAGATCAGTTATATTTTCTTAAATTATTTTAAATGTATATCTTTCTCACTCAGTATTCTTCACCACTGCTCTCTCTCTCTCTCTCTCTCTCTCTCTCTCTCTCTCTCTCTCTCTCTCTCTTCGCTCTCTCTCTCTCTCTCTTTCTCTCTCTCTCTCTATCTCTATCTCTCATTCTGCTCGTTTACAACTCCTTCTTTCTCTATCTCTTTTTAATCAGTCAGGTAACCAAAAGCAAAGTCTTCTTTATATTAAACATCAATAAAATACAGTGAGTAAAACACTCATCCTGTTAATCAGACTTTGACTGGAAAAGCAATAATTAATGCCAGTGTGGAGAAGAGACGACAGTATATCATCACATTGGCCCCACAGATGTTAAGCAGTAAACTGTTACTCATTTGCAATAAGGAAAAATGTGCGATAAGGCAGTCATTAATGAAAAAGAACAGCCTGAAGTAATTGTTTTAATGTTTTTCATTATTGTCTCCTCAGACTGAGTGGCTGTGAGCTGTCAGAGAGAAGCTGTGAAGCTCTGTCCTCAGTCCTCAGCTCCCAGTCCTCTAGTCTGAGAGATCTGGACCTGAGTAACAACGACCTGCAGGATTCAGGAGTGAAGCTGCTGTCTGCTGGACTGGAGAGTCCACACTGTACTCTGGAGACTCTCAGGTCAGGATTCATCAACATGTTAAACTTATAGCCAGTTAAATTGCGATGTACATTAATGATGGATTAACTCATGACCTTTTGTTGCATCTGCTTCAATAACATTTGTTATTGTTGTTTTACTCTCTCTTGTTTGAACTTGTGTGTGTTCAGGCTGTCAGGCTGTCTGGTCTCAGAGGAAGGCTGTGTTTCTCTGGCTTCAGCTCTGAGATCCAACCCCTCCCATCTGAGAGAGCTGGACCTGAGCTACAATCATCCAGGAGACTCAGGAGAGAAGCTGCTGTCTGCTGGACTGGAGGATCCTCTCTGGAGACTGGACACGCTCAGGTATTATAAACATATACAGTGGAGGAAATAAGTATTTGACCCCCTGCAGATATTTTAAGTTTGCCCACACAATACATTAACAGTCTATCATTGTAATGGTAGGTTTATATAAACATTGAGAGTAAGAATATCAAAAAGAAACTCCAGAAATTGACATTATATAAAAGATAAAAATGGGATCGGCTACAAGACCATCAGAAAGCAGCTCAGTGAGAAGGAGACAACTGTTGGTGCGATTATTCAGAAGAATAATGTGTGTGTTTCTAAATGGAAGAATCACAAAATGAGCATCAATGGCCCTCGGTCTGGGCTCCACACAGGATCTGGCTCCGTGGGGTTTTGATGATCATGAGAAAGGTGAGGGATCAGCCAAGAACTACACGGAGGAACTTGTTAGTGATCTCAAGGCAGCTGGGACCACAGTCACCAAGACACCTATTGGTAACACACGACACCATAATGGATCAAACCCTGCAGCGCCTGAAGGCCCCCTGCTCAAGAAGAACAGGAACCGTCTGAAGTTTGACAACGAACATCTGAATGATTCAGAGAAGGTTTGGGAGAAGAGGAGGAGGTCAGATGAGACTAACATCAAGATCTTTGGCATCAAGTCGACCCGCTGTGTTTGGACGAAGAGAGATGCTGACTATAACCCCAGAACACCATCCGTCAGCATGGAGGTGGAGACATTCTGCTTTGGGGTGTTTCTCTGCTCAGGGGACAGGAGAACTTCCTGCATCGAGGAGAGGGTGGACATGTCCCCGTGACATCTTGGCCGATAGCCTCCTTCCCTCAGCCAGGAACATGGGTCATGGAGGGTTCTTCCAGCCGGACAATGACCCTGAACATACGGCCAAGGCAACACAGGAGAGGCTAAAGAAGAAGCACATTGAGGTGAGGGAGGGTCCTAGCTAGTCTCCAGACCTTAATCCCATAGAGAATCTGTGGAGGGAGCTGGATCTTCAAGAGGCCAAGCATCAGCCTCAACACCTGCAGCATTTGGATCTTCAGAGAGGAGTAGACCAACATCCTTCCTGAGATGTTCACAGACCTGGAGACCAACAAGAAGCGTCTGACCTCTGTGTGACCTCTGTGTGTCCTCTGTGTGACCTCTGTGTGACCTCTGTGTGTCCTCTGTGTGACCTCTGTGTGTCCTCTGTGTGACCTCTGTGTGTCCTCTGTGTGTCCTCTGTGTGGCCTCTTTGTGACCTCTGTGTGGCCTCTGTGTGACCTCTGTGTGTCCTCTGTGTGTCCTCTGTGTGTCCTCTGTGTGACCTCTGTGTGTCCTCTGTGTGTCCTCTGTGTGACCTCTGTGTGGCCTCTGTGTGGCCTCTGTGTGACCTCTGTGTGTCCTCTGTGTGACCTCTGTGTGACCTCTGTGTGTCCTCTGTGTGACCTCTTTGTGACCTCTGTGTGTCCTCTGTGTGACCTCTGTGTGTCCTCTGTGTGTCCTCTGTGTGGCCTCTTTGTGACCTCTGTGTGACCTCTGTGTGTCCTCTGTGTGGCCTCTGTGTGTCCTCTGTGTGTCCTCTGTGTGACCTCTGTGTGTCCTCTGTGTGTCCTCTGTGTGACCTCTGTGTGGCCTCTGTGTGGCCTCTGTGTGACCTCTGTGTGTCCTCTGTGTGACCTCTTTGTGACCTCTTTGTGACCTCTGTGTGTCCAACAAGGGTTTCTCCACCAAGTCCTAACACATGTTCTGCAAGGGGATCAAATACTTATGTCACTCAGTTTAATGCAAATACATTTTTATCTTTTATATAATGTACATTTCTGGATGTTCTTATTGATATTCTTTCTCTCACTGTTTGTATAAACCTACCATTAAAATGACAGACTGGTCATTTCTTTGTGGGTAAACGTAGAAAGTCTGCAGGGAATCAAACACGTCTCTCCTCCACTGTGTGTATGCCAAGACAAAAACATTGAAGGGAACTGAAGACAGTGGATAAGACTCAGGCAGCAGCTCTGTGTTTGCAGAGAAGACACCACAACAAGAAATACATCTTTATCATTTTAGATTCTGATCTCGATTTCAATGCTCATTTTAATTTGCTGACCAAAACTGCTTTTATCATTTTGGCTTTAGAGTCAAAATCCATCCACCAACCTAAACACAGCAGAGATCATCCACTCCTGATGGACCCGATCTGCACTGGCTCCTGTATCTGAATAGATTCTGAAGTGCTTCTTCTATTTCTAAAGCACTAAATGGCCCCTCCCTCTTTGAGAAACAACGAGGAACTATCAGATGTCCTGTGAATTCATCATGATAATAATAAAGTATGTGTAAAGCAGCTTTCATTGCTCAAAGCAAACCCAAAGTGCGTTGCATGAAAGGTGCTTTTAAATAAAGTGCATGTATTTCCCTCTTCAGGTTCCAGGTAGAGAAACACTCATTGACTGCTGCTAGCAGATGCTGAGGGAACACTAACTGAACACTGATCAACTCTGACATCTTATTCTCTGATCAATAATCATTGAAGTTAATGAGCTTTATTTATCGGCTAATAAGATGTTTGACTGATCTAAAATGATACCGTGAACATGTAGGTTCATCTGTGGAGAATAACAAAGCTCTGAGTGTGAGAGTGATGTAATGTCCATGTCTCCATGCTGCTCTGATCCCCCCCCCCCCCCCTCTTTCAGGATGGAGCCTGCTGGAGTCCGATGGCTGAGACCCGGTCTGAGGAAGTGTGAGTGTGGTTTAATTTGATTCATGAAAACAAAGCAGCCACCATCTTCAAATGTAACCTTCATCATCAAAGTGTCAATAAATGAACAGCTGATAGATTAATAACTGCTGCTGTTCCTCTCCTCAGATTCCTGTGAACTCTCACTCGACTCAAACACAGCTCACAGGAACCTCAAACTGTCTGAGGACAACAGGAAGGTGACATGTGTGGAGGAGAAGCAGCCATATCCTGATCATCCAGAGAGGTTTGACTCCTGGGATCAGCTGATGTGTAGAGAAGCTCTGACTGGTCGCTGTTACTGGGAGGTCGAGAGGAGAGGAGGGGTTTCTATATCAGTGACTTACAGAGGAATCAGCAGGAGAGGAAAGAATGAAGACTGTTTGTTTGGAGGGAATGATCAGTCCTGGAGTCTGTACAGCTCTGGTGGTGGTTACTATGTCAGGCACAATAACACAGTAACACACACCTCCTCCTCCTCCTCCTCCTCTGGTAGAGTAGCAGTGTATCTGGATCATCCTGCTGGCTCTCTCTCCTTCTACAGCGTCTCCTCTGACACACTGACCCACCTCCACACCTTCAGAACCACATCCACTGAACCTCTCTATGCTGGCTTTGGGTTCTGGTTCAGGTCTGGTTCCTCAGCGTCTCTGGTTCCTCTGTAGGAGGAAGAGTCTCCTCCTGTTCCAGAAACTTCCTCCCTGCTGCCCAGAGAGTTCAGTCTGTTCAGGATCACAGCTGATAAATAATTGTAACCGTGGTGTACTTATATACGTATTTGAATATACAGTCTACTCTTTTCACTGTATCTGCACTTTACTTCTTTTGATGTAATAATGTAGATTTCCACTTTTTGGGACGAATAAAGGAATTCTGATTCTGAAAATATGCTTTTGCTTCAGATTCAATATCTTCACTGTGATTCAGGAAAGTGCTACAAACATCACTTCACACACAAATACAGATAGAAATCAAACGCATGTAAATACAGAAAAATAAATAAATAAATAAAACCTCTGAGCTTTCAGTTAGTGTAAACAACAACACGTCTTTCTGTTGTTTTTTGCAGTTATTTTTGGCGAGAGAGATTTAGTTTAACCGTATGACGAATAAATACAATACAAATACATAATGATAATAATAAAGAAATATAAATACTATACAAATAATTGTAATAATAGAAAAATAAATAATAAATTCAAATAAGAAAAGAAAATAATAATACTTGAGAAATAAATAAAGGCCTCTGAGGGACGGTCCCCCACCTCCATACAATGTTTTATTAAATTAATAAATTGACATTTATTTAGTATTTGTTTTAACACAATAAAATAATATACTTGAAACAAAATGTATAAAGAAATAAAAAATGTTTTTATTCAAACGAAATATAAAAAATAAATAAAAGATATTTATAAAAATACAAATTAAATCAATTTAAATGGAAAGACTTTTAGAAACATATTAAAGTGTTTTTTTTCGTTTTGAAGTGTAAAAGACAAACATATAAATATGATAAAACATTACATAAAAACTTTACAAATATTATTAAAAAACTAATCATTATATAAAAAATAAAGATGTGTTGTGTTTTGGCCACTCAGTCGTGTACAAAGCTTTTCTTTCTGCTGCTTTCAG